TTTTGAAGGCCGCGAGAGTGGGGAGGGTCCGGATTTCTGGGGGTAGGTCGTTCCATAGGGCCGGAGCAGCTACAGAGAAGGCCCTCCCCCGAGGAGCCGCCAAACCATTTATATACAATGGCTTGTCATGTCAAGTTGGGGGGGGGATTATTTTTTTCCCCTTGATTAGACCGCTATTTATTGTTTGATTGTTTTTCTGAGTTTGCAGTTCCTGGATTAGGGTGTTTTCGAAAGATTCACTGCAGAGCATGCCAAAAACAAATGTTTAAAATAGGGTTTCAAAGAGCGCCTAAATGTTTACCGATACTGCAGGTCGGTAGACACAAAAAAGAACAAAGTGAGAAAGCAGATCTTTTTCTATTTTGTTGTTATTCCCTCGCTTTTTTTTCCCATTGTCTTTTTCTGCATAAACTACAAGGAGCAGTACAGTTCAGTCCTTAGAATAAAGTTTCAAGCTTACGCTAGAATTGTTATTATTTAATAACCTTATTATTTTTATGTAGTCGATTAATGCCTTGTTTATATGTAAAATTTAAAAAACATCATGCTTATCAGCAAAAACATGTAGTTTATAATCAATATTAATGTGAACTTTTTTCTTTGTCCTTAAATGTTGAAGTTATCTAAACCACAGTGTGTTAATAATCATCAGTTCTGTTGTATAAAAACCACTGTAACCAAGTAATATACAGGCACACCAAAATATATATTTTTTATTTATAAAGTTTTTTATTTTTTCATTTTCGTACTATATAACCACATGTACGTACAACATCCAGATTGTGATGCTTGAAAAACCTGGAAATGTTTGGCAGATAGTTTTATTTACCCCATTCCACAAACAATTAGACACACTCTAAGTAAAGTTGAAAATGCAAAAACTCAACATGTCTCAAAGCTCAATGTATCTTAATACTCCCATGTTGCAAAATGAATCTAAATCTCAAGATGAAAATTCCCCCAAAGCAAAAATCCATTCCCCACTTTATGTAATCTTCTTCTGTTTACTACGCCCCCTGTTGGTGACTACCTGCATCTTCCATCACTCTTGGGAGCCACCTATTGGGAAGTCAGTGAAGTTCCATGTTGTCCAAGTCCTCAGATACATTATTCAGAATTCAGAATGAAGCAACAATGAGTAAGATAGAAATAGAAGCCATTAGAAACCAGTTCAAATCCCGTAATTAACAGTGATGCTTTATCCTCTTACTAAGAAGGGGAAATAGCAAGAAGGACCATTTTCAAACATATTCCAGACCTTGGAAACAACAGAAGAGAAAAAGAGGCCACAGGCAAAATCTTAAATCTCCAGGTCAGTAAGAAAAGATAGAAAGATGGCTAGTTAAGCAGGGAAGCAGCTACAAGTGAATACAAAAAGTCCTTTGCTGCAGGGAAAGACTTCTCTTTGGGGTCCTTTGTGTTCTCCAAGTTTCATTGCTTGTTTAAAGACATTTTGTTATCTCACTAGGTAACATTATCAGTACTAAACGAGAGTGGGATTTTGGCCTTTGTTTATATACAATATCTTGCCCTGTCACTGTTGTTCAGAGTGTTGGTAGTTCCTTAATTAAGTTTCTGTTTAACAATGGTAAACAGAAACTTAATTAAGGAACTAAAGTTTCTGTTTACTATTGCTAAACAGGGAAGCAGCTACTGGTGGAAGCAAAAAGTCCTTGGCCATTCTACAAATCTGCAGGGAAAGAATTATCTTTTGGGGAGTCTCTGAGCTTGATTGCCCAGAGCAAAATATTTTTAACAACAACAACCTCTTCTTTGGGATATGCTCAGAAATGCATCCCCAGGCAAGGATATTAAGCTTCATTACCCCCATCCTCATATTTCTAATGACCAAAGAGGGGGAATGAACATTAAGTAGAAGATAGTATCAAAACTGTACAGTTAAATCATTATAATCAGCTGGGTCTCTTCCTCAGTGGTCAAAGTGTCATTTATCAGCTGAGAAATCCAACTATGGGGAAGTTTTGTTCTTTGGTCTTCACATGTCAATCAGCAACTAGTACCCTTAATCACAGCATCTTAAAAGAAATATAATCTGGAGATCAGCCTCCCCTGTTCCCAAAAAGCTTTGTCTCAAAGGAGATGCTACATTTCTTCAAAATTTAACTCTTCCTGCCTTGGATGTTGGTTCCTGTCCCCTAGCAGGCTCAAGCCAATTCTCTCTCTCTTCTATGCTGACTGTTGGTGATTATCTTAGACAGAAAAGGACCACATCTTGTATCACACGGTGGTAGATTCTAATTAGACAAGACACAGAGTATGTATGGATCTTTTAGTGTTTCTTTTTCATGCCAAAAGCAAAAGCTCTCAATGTTTTCTTCAGGAGATCAATCCTGACCTGCTATTCT